GTGCTTTGTATAAGAACATTATATTATCTGTCTTGCTGTACCTTTATTTAGGAAAAGCCTTAATTGAGATACACTACAAATTATTTGCAATAAATATCAAAAGAAGCATACATTTTTAAATAATTGACATTTAAGAGCCAATCACACATCACAGTTGACATCTTGATATTTGACAGGCACAGCCAAGCAGTATTCTGATTTTTGCCCAATAAAACGGCAGATTAATTATTCTATGGAGTTGCGACAGAGAATCAGTAAATTTGATAAAGGTGTTTTTGTGGCTAGGGGCGAAATAGTAGTACGCTTAAGTTAGCACCACCATAAAAAAGTAATTTTTAAGAAACTGCTTATATATTTTTCATAAATTGGCAGGCTTGGCGACTAATTTCGAATAAAAATAGCCTCTAAAATGGCTATGGTTGCAAATATAAAGGTCGCAACCCGCCTTAGAAATTTCACCTTTACTATCAACAGCTGTTGTTCGACAGGTCGTTAGAGAATGTTTGCAATTTATGGAATGTGAAGAATGTTAGGAATATTGACGTTAGAAATAATTGGAATTCCTAAAATTGTCACATAAGAAATGCCTAAGCGGATTTTAAGAAAATTGATATTAAAGTAGTTAGAACGAACCGAAAATTCTGAAAATCAATAGGGTTCTAAGTTAGAAGTTATTATTCAAGAAAATCAAAACCGCAAGTCAATCAGAACTTTCGTTCTAGAGTTATTGTGCCGGTATACATTCACACAGACGACCAGACAAAACTTTTTTTTTGCGTTTTCGGACTCAGAGTGATCGGAAACATAAAAAAAGTTTTAAAAAATGGGGGTAAGAAAATTTTTTCGTCTGCACGAATGCAATACTGAGGCCCCATAGGAAGTGCCTCAATAATATGGTAGTGAAATTAGTTTAGCAAAGTAAATACGCTAATTAGAGTTATCTTCACCTTAAATGTTATTATGTTTTAAATGAATCAGTAAAGCTTGGGCAGAAGATGAAAAATTAACAATAAATTTAATTAACTCAGTGCTTAGAAGATTACCAGAAATTATTAATAATGGAGCTATATATTAATTATTTATTTCATCTCTTTCGAATTGCCAAATGTATTTAAATTTCAAACTTATTTTCTAATATTTTTGTTGTGCTGACAACGTTTTTCTATAAATTATAACCTAAAAATTAGTTTAACTTTGACACATTTTAAAAGATCAATTTACACAGCTTGAAATGCACGATTTTTTTTAAAAGAGGTGTACCACTTTTATATGCCGCGAAGTCTACCTCTAAGTACCTCTAAGTAATTAATTATTTACGATGTCAATATCATCGAATTTGTTTAGTTCTTGTTCAGATTAATTATTTTTATTCAATGTTATTATATTTCTGTCAGTTTTATTGGTTAGGTTAGTTAGGTGGGTCTGAGAGACCCTCAGGTGAAGAAAGGCAGAAAACCTCAAATTTTATCTCGTGGTAAAATCTTTATTTTATATAACCATCGAGTTATGCTACTAGAGGGAATTTTAGATTTTACTCCAGTATTAATTGTGGAAGAACGAGCACATAATATTTTTGGGGAATTTCGTTGTTTGGTTATATTCCCACGGTTTTTTGGACCCAATCCACACCCGCTAAAGGGATTTATAGACATAAAAATTGGAGATCCACGGCATTTGGGTGTGTAATATTGAAGTGGATTCTTCAATAGGGGTTACTGCGGACTGTCTCACTTGTTTTTCACCCTTGGAAGGCTACTAGTTTAATTCTTTACCTAGACTTAATCGTGGGGACACAGTACATCGATTGACCAGAACATTAGTTATTAGCCACTTGGCTTACTTATAGCTGATTTTACATAGATGGTTCTTTTTCTGGATGGGAAAACGGCGATGCTGTTAATGGAAACACCCTACTATCCGGTTTTTAATATTATAATGAAGGTTTCATATGTGCACTGTGCCTGCTGATTTATTAAATTAAACCTTCACTTTCAAACGATGTTCTCAAGGTATTCTCAACATTATTTATACTTTTGTACATATAATGTTCTTGTGGGTTTTACTTTTATAACTTATGTGTTACCAATATATTTCCTAACTTAATTAATTAAGCACTATTTCAAAATTTTGTTATTTAAGCACTTACTGTCTCGGCTTGGGTATTGACCATAAATACCTCGGGACATAAGGCCATTTCAATTTTTATATTTCTTCTTATATTAAAATAAGACTTAACCATATGTTAAGCAGACTCGTAAGACCCATGAAGGGTAGAGATTAGAATAACCTCTTCCAATCTGGGAGTTTCACTAAATATCACTGTCTCAAGTCTTTTATGTGTTCATTAAATTTTCTTTTTATCTTGTTTCATGATTTATATTTAATTATAAAATTTCATGGTTTATTATTTTTCTTATTAATAATTTGGTCTTAACTATTAGTTAAGCAGGTAACTTCTTCCAACTTGGAGAGTGTTAATGTTTAGATATAGGTGCGCGGATATGTACATGATTTTTTTATTTATATATATATATTTTTTGATTTTACTCTTTATGTAAAAGGTAGAAATTAAGATCTCAATATTTTCGCATACCATCTTCCTCAAGCGTCCTTCGCCTGGTACCAAGCTAACGACCGACCGTGCCACCTGTTGGTGAATTTATTTTCTTTTTGGGTTTATGCATATGACTTATACATTATTTTAATTTCTTACCGTATTTAGTCGTTAGTTAAATAATTTGTAAGATTGTTGTACAATTTAATTGGAAAAATTGGTAAATTTTTTATTCAGGAACATAAGTTGAGGTTTGTCTTTTATTTCTTTCCTCATTTACTGGGTTTGTGGGAAAAATAGAAGCATAGTTTGGCCACTATATAGACCCAGTTGGCGCCTTTCATTTGTCTACTATTTCCGGAATTTTTAAAAGCTATTCACCCCCCAGCTGGCGTCTGAGCGACGTCGAAGGCCCAAAGGTCGACACTGGAACAACCGAAACTTGTGTAACCGAAGTAGACAGGATTTTCTTGATAAAGATTTTTTTTATTTTTATGTTTAATTCCCCTCTGGAAGTTGCTTAGAACTTTTGGTAGGTTACAAATAAACGAACTCTATTCACTACAGATCTACTAGTGTCACTGAAGAGTAGTACCCAAAAATTTTCTTCAGAATGTCTTGCGTCCAAAAATCTGTAAACTACGTTCTGGAATGTTGCAAAGTGGTGTGTTGATTTTGAACGCATTATGTTTGCACATTAGTGCACCGATCATCAAACTTCTCGAAAAATACGGCTGGGAACAGCCACCCGGCTTATAATCCTGATCTGAGCCCACTTGACTTCGATCTCTTCTCTGAAGGAACCGCTTCGGGGGTCCAGTTTCCGACGCTGGAACAGCTCTAAAGAGAAGTGACCTTACAGATTCGGATGCTCATAAGAACGGAACGCTGAACGGACCCCAAACATTTTCGCGTAGCTGGCAAGCGTGCATTGATAAGGAAGGAGATTGGAGTTAAAGCTATCTGTGCATTACTTTTGGGACAATTATCTATTTAACATTGTTAACTCATTTATCATGATTATTTGAAATAAATCTATTCTTAAAATGTAATAGTGGAAAAAAATATGTTTAAGGCTATGGTTATAGTGGATGCATGTTCTGACGAACTGGCGTTCAGACGAATTCGTTAGAACATACACGAAAAAATCAAATACGCAGAAATAAACAGATGTGGTTATATTACAAACGAATTGTTCTTCAGAACCCGCACGAAGTCGTCAGAATAAGAGATCTTTCTTAGGCTATGGTTATAGTGGATGCGTGTTCTGACGAACTGGCGTTCGGACGAAAATGTCAGAATTGTTGTTCAGATCAACAGTGGTTATTTTGCATGCACATTCTGAAGAACTGATTGTATGTTTCACCATTTTCGTGTTTCGTTACGATATATCCATGATGAATGACATGGACGAATATCTGTTTTTAGAAAGTTTTTTAATAAAAATTTAACCATTTTTATTAACTAAACTTAAATTCCTATTCAATAATGAACAACAATTCTAATTTATGTATACTTAACGATTTGTATTCATTTCCTACGCAATCTTTTCCCATTTTTGTCTAGATTGATCTCTATTAATGTAACTTTTATCTTTCATGTCCTATAAGCGAAATAATTTTTCTACATCCATATTTGAAATTCACATTTCGCATTTAAATTCGTCCGAAAAAACAAACTAATTTGAAAGATCTCTTATTCTGACGACTTCATGCGGGTTCTGACGAACAATTCGTTCGTAATATAACCACAACTGTTTATTGCTGTGTATTTGATTTTTTCGGATATGTTCTGACGAGTTTGTTCGAACGTCAATTCGTCAGAACACGCATTCACTATAACCATACCCCTATCATTTTTTTTTCGGACGAATTTAAATGCGAAATGTGAATTTCAAACATGGATGTAGAACAACTAATTGGTTTATAGCACATGAAAAATAAAAGTTACGATAATAGAGATCAATCTCGACAAAATGAGAAAAGATTGGCGCAGAAAATGAATACAAATCGTTAAGTATACACATATTCCGTACCACATAAATTAGTATTTTTTACGTTATTAAATGGGAATTTAGATTTAGTTAATTAAAAATCTCAAATTTTAATTAAAGGACTTTCTAAAAACAGATAATCGTCCATGTCATTCACCATGGATATATCGCAACAAAATAAGAAACTGGTTAAACTTACAATCAGTTCTTCAGAATGTGCATGCAAAATAACCACTGTTGATCTGAATAACAATTCCGACATTTTCTTCCGAACGCCAGTTCGTCAGAATACGCATCCACTATAACCATAGCCTAATTCGAGCGAAAAGTTCGTTATCGCAATCGACATATTTCTGTCTCTAACGACAAATTATTACTTTTAATACACAAATAGCTATTTCCTTTGAATACTTTTTCTTATCTTTTTTTATTTTTTCCATGAAACGAAAATAGGATCCCAAGTTAAACTCAAAACTCCCAGTGATGGTATATATGTATGGAGGAGGCTTTATTGAAGGAGCCTCGTCGGATGTAAATATTGGTCCAGATCATCTTATGGACTATGATGTTGTATATGTTACCTTAAATTATAGAGTTGGCCCTTTTGGTAAGTCAATGAATGAGTTAAATTAGGTCAATAGTGGCTTCATTGATGAACTGACAATCGAAATATTTAGTAACTTAAGGAAGGGGAATCCGTTGGATTTTTAGACGATTATGATGTGTACATGACTTTATTTCAGAGATAGCCAATTTTCAACATAGAAACTATTCGCGATTCAAATTAATTTTCGCGCGCCTGTCATTTGTCACCTATAAGTAGGATGTTTGTTTATTTACATGTATTTGTTTTGGGCGAAATTTGTATTTGTGATTTTTTTAACTGTTTTTAGGTAATATTCTCATTGTGATAGTGTTTTTGAGTTTCATTTAGTGTTAATTTAAGTTTAAGTCTCGTGCTTTCGTCATAAATATAATATTTATCATGTGTATGACTTAATTTGTTGGAAATAATCACCTATTGGTTGCTACAAGAACAGCTAGAAATATGTATTTACTAAACCCCGGACATGTTTTATTATGTGGTTTATAGGACATTACAGGTACCAATGTATTGATGAACTTATTTAAAAATCTTACTAGACTTATTCTTATATTATGAAGTGAATTATGTAGTACTTTGTATACATGCAAATGGTAATAAAAGGTGTCTTCCAACACGCGCAAAAACCGTAATATTACCGTACAAATTATGCGCTGTATACAATTTTTGCGTAGAGCGCATAATATTGTACGGTAATATAACGGTTTTCGCCCGTGTTGGAACAGACTTAAAACCGTCACAAATCATATTACAGTTTGATTCTTAACAAACTTTTGCAAAATTTCAATATTGTGAATTTGTAGATATCCATTTATCGTAAAAAACTAAATTTTATGACTTGCACTTGGAAAATAATGAATACTTCAGTTTTGATTTTGACATTAACACCATATAGATTGCAATTTGCTAGGAACTTTCTCGCAGATTTCATTTTTAATATAAACACTATCACATACTAGAAGAAATAAACAAATTTAAAGCTAAAAAGTAAGAAAAAAACTCTAATTGTAATTGATACAAATTAAAATGTAAACAATGAACACGAACGCCAATGTTGCCAAATGATGAACTGATTTTAAAACAAAATTAATAAATGAACTGAAATTTAAAAAAAAATCAATATAATAAATCGGTGTTATAAAAAATCCTTAAATAAATATAGAGTATGATTACACATTACTATACACAAATTTTGATTCTTAAATAAAAGGTCTTATCCATTTCTTCAAGAGCTAAAATCCGACGACGTAGCGAAATGTTGCTACTTCTGGCAACATTGAACGATATCCTACTTATAGGGACCTTCTACAAATTTCCTCCAGAGGGCGTATCACTTAGCTTGAATCGCGAATACCTTATAATGGATTGAACAAGGTATATAATAGGAGCATGCACATATCAGAGACGGCTGTCACTCGTTGCGCACAAATCTGTGTCTGATGCATGTAGTGGGGAAAGCAGAAGTCGAAGTCGTATCGCTCACTTACAGCGGTCTCTATCTCTCTCTCTCTCTCTCTCTCTCTCTCTCTCTCTCTCTCTCTCTCTCTCTCTCTCTCTCTCTCGCTCTATGTTCATGTTCCTTTAACCTTGTTCAGCTCATTGTCGTGTTGAAAATTCCGTACCTGTATACAATAATAAAACGTTCGCGAAATATTTGGTTGCAGCTGAGGATGACATACGGATACTTGACCTTTGTAAAGTTGTGTCAAAAGTTTAACTAAATTATTTTTTTGAAAGCGTTAATTTTTACATAAGTCAGACAGTGACAGAAATAAAATTTATTTTACTTTCTTATAATGTTTTAAAAATATGGAAAAAAATACATGTAATCAGTCTCCAAAAAAATTGGTATGTAATAGATTTAATCATTTCAGGTTGAAGTGACGAGGCCTTAAAACCTTGACTAGCGGCATTAATTTCATTCAGATAATATATTTACATTTAAATAAAATGCTAAGATAATTTAACTATAGCTTTATTAGTAAAATAGTAACATTAAAATTTTCAATAAAAACGTCCCTAACTCTAGCAACACTTTCAGTGATTTGTTATCGATTCAGGTTTTATTTTTGTTTTAATAAACTTAAAAATATTTTTTATCATTAATAAATATTTTGTAGATGAGAAATACATTTTTCATAAATTTTTAATGTCATTTATAGAAATAAAATAGATATTTGTATACCAGAGACCATAAGTATAGAGTTGATCTTTTTCGGCCAAATCTTAAATTTACGTCCGAGGCCAAGTAATTTCTGGTGAGCAATATTAACAACTTATGTAAGAATAGAAAATCAGCATCATGCCTTCGTTTTTCACGAGAGTAAATATTAGTAATTCCAGAAATTTGACGCTAGTGTCTAGCCAGTTAATTCCTAGATTGTATGTATAATGTCTTGAAAAACCTCCTGTATACATCTAAATCACATACATTTTGTCGGCTTACCAGCAAACCACACCAAGTCAGATTTGATGAAAAATCCATTAGACACTTAATGTATTTTCCTAAACAAAATAATGGTATTGAGAATTTAATGAATATGAAAATAATTTAAAAATAAGGTTATAATTGTTAGAGGACATGGATTTTACCATTTTATAGAGTGGAAGCAATTCAGTCAAATGATCTAAATAAGTCAAAAATAAAAAAAATGTCTTAGTGTGTTTTGCTTGTAAACCAACAAAATTGGTCTAGGTACAACTTGTGGATGATAAGAATGTTTTATATATGACTCAATAAAGCTTTATTCAAAAATATCGCGACGAATTGAGAACCTCCTCCTTTTTGAAGTCGGTTAAAAATGTATAAACATACAATTAACGCAAATTTAAAAACATTACAAAAATTAAATATTAAAATCCAATATAAAATAAATAAAAAAATTTAATATAAAAGTATCAAAAGTGGTAATTATAAATAAAAAAAAAAAGGATAAAGTTGGTTAGTGGTCTATTTTCAATGAAATATATGGAAATACCATAGGAACCGAAGTTATGCATAGGCTACATATCATATTTAAATGACATGTATGTCACCAAATTGATGTTATTTTAATACTAGATATATAGGTACCTCAACTGCTTCTGATGCATTTTCGCTTATATAATTTTTTTAAATAATTATGTTAGAAACGAATATTGACAGATATTCTAAATTGAAACCTTCTTCTACTACTCTGAATCAATCAGGGTGCTTATTCTTTATTTGAAAACACTCAGCGAGTATCTCTAGAAACGTGATAAACGACTAACAAAAGTGTAAAGCACAAACGTTTTAATATTCTCTACTTGCTGTGCTGTTCATATTCGAAAAAAGCACTTTCAAAAAAGTTACACATAAGTAGCGTTTTGCTGTTCGCACTTCAAGGTTTGACATTTAAAGCTAAGATTTTCGGGATAAGTCAAACATTAAAATATGGACCTAAATATTATTACTTGAATATTAAAATGTCAGCAAATATATGCTTTTTATTATGTTTTTGATTCCTTATAATAATGTCAAAATGACATTCAAATCTTAACCTTAGATATTTAGACCAATCAGCATTTACGATTGATAATTATGACAGCTTATGACAAAAATTAATTTGAATCGCGAATAGCTAAAAATGCATGAAATGAATACATCTGGAATACATATGCCGAAACCATGTGTTATATGTGTTAGCGGTATTTCTCTATACTCCCCACCATAAATTCTTGAAGTCCATACACATGCGTGTCAGGATGGACGAGCGGGAGAAGACAGACCAGCGCAGTGAGCAGTACGTTAATAGACAGTGGCAATACCACAGCAACATTGTAATTGAGAATACTTGATCGTGAAATAAACCATTAAAAAGCAGTTTAGACATTTTTATTAGGGATGATACATCCATTATGTTTATATCAGACATCCCTTATGTTTATATCAGAAGTGGGATTACTACGCGTACCGCGGCTAATAGACTATAATTAATTATTTAAGTAGAAGTTAGTGCTAGTGACAATGGCGGACGAAAATCCTGAACCTCGTGACAGTGCGTCAGCAGAACACAATGTCGGTCAATGCTAAAGACAATGTGAACGGACATAGTTCAAAGCATGCTAAATTTCAGTGGTAATAAACATTAATAAACTTTGTAGCAGCCCAAGAGTAATAAATGTTGATGTATCTCAACATTCCAAGATGGCTACGTAACCGTTCGCCAAGCCAACGCCCAGTGTTGCAGGAACAAATTGATCTAATGCGCAAGCGCCGACATTTGCGCCTGTGCAGTTTTCGACTTACTAGTTATGACCCTGAAGACAGCACATATTCCATAAAAGAATGGTTTGAGTAACGATACCAAAAATAAAAGGCGAACTCAGCGTTAGAGATAACTTCATGGCCGCTAAATCGAGCAAAGCATCTAAGTATCGCGGTTATTGTTATTGTTGTGACTGGCGACTTCTTTCTCGAACGTGGCAAGACTTTGTGATGTCCTAATTGTTGCATTTGCTGATAAGGAAACACCAGCTGCTCGTGAATACAAGGCTACACTTCAATGCCATGATTGTAACTCACGTGTGTGATTGTGAAAATCAAAATTTGTGAATCATCACTAAATTTTAATAATGCTTTGCTGTGGCATTCAGTTCCGGTTTAGACAATTCAAAAGCCAAATTCCGAACGAGAGTGGTGAGCTCATAAAATTACTTGCTAAATTTGATGCGATTCCGTGTTAACTTGAGTTGCCGAGAATGACGAAAAATGCAGAGATAATTAGAAAACCAAGAAGTCAGTTTAAACGAGAAGCCGCCGCCAGGACACCAACAAATAATATCATGTCGGAGTACATAACAGGCGAGTACATTTAACACGGTTACTACACATAAAAATCCGACAGTATTAAAGCATTCATTAAAAGAAAAATGGGTCACCTCGAATCCAATTATTGTTATAAACAAAGAAAGTCTAAAAAAAAAACATTTGTGTTAAAATAAATAATGCCATCTAAATTCGACACCGACAGCCGATAACCATGTTATTATACTTTGAGCAAGCTCAGTCATTAGAATACATTATTGATAGTGATGTTGACAGTTCAATCATTAAACATTCCCTATAGAAAACATTAAAAGGAACGATTAGACCAGCTGATGTACGTGTATTTGTTGAGACTTGAAACTCAAAAGATGTTTAGAATATCGATCTTTGTGATTTTGCCGACTATTACGTTAGAGGCCGTTCCAAATAATGTGATTCCTGAAGATTATTAGAAGCAATGTCATATGCCGACCTTGTTTAAGTGTCGAGAAAAATGCCGATGGGATTAGGTTACATTATGACCTGCTCAACATTCAGAAAATGTTTACAATAAAAAATTGAACGATATGAAAATTAATCAATTAGAATTAATAGACACTTTTAAAATACAAGTGAAGAATCTTTTAATATTTTACAAGAATAAATCTCCTGACCACATAACTACCGGAAAAATGTCAATTTAGATTACAATGCAGTACTCCAGTAGCGTATTGACGAAGGCGATTAGCGTATCAAGACAAAATTCAGCAGAAGAAAATTATAAACAGTGACATTATCCGCAGAAGTCACTTAAAATGAAGGTGGGTAAGGTTTTCTGGATTTTCCCCATCTGTAAGTCAAATGGCAGTCATCTTTAAGTCATCCCGAGCGTCACTACAAATAAAATGATAGCCGTTCTTTCCACACACAAGCTCAGTCAACTTTGCAGATTGAAATTCACTCGTAAGTACAAGGGGTGAATTAGGGAGAGTATTCCTATTGTATTATAAAATATAAAAGTCCTATTGTGCTATTAAAAAAAAAAAGGTTTTGAAGATCAAATTAATGCTTTTAAAATATTTTATCACGTTGAACATGAAGTCAAGCTTTTATCAAATGGAAATAGAAGAAAGTTCCAAACAGGTAACTGCTTTTGTTACTAAACCTATTGCATACTATAGTCGCCGTACGACTGATTGTGAATCAAGGTAACATTTTTACAATCTAAAGACTTGTTATAGTGAAAGCGGTTGAACACTTTCGTGTGTATCTGTACAGTGTGCATTCAATAGTATATACAGACTAATTCGGTTCGAGAAAAAGCTGTAAACAAATTATATACGCGCGCGACGCGTTGATGTGATAAGTTATAGAATTAAAACTTTTCTATTGAGTACCATCCTGGACATAAAATGTAACATATAGATTATTAAAAAAATCCAGTGAATTATGTAAGCGAGTTAAAAGTGTGCCCGTTAAAAACAATAAACAAACAAACAAAATTACCGATAAGCATACGCTCCGAGATTTCCAGCAAAGTGATACGATTTGTCATCAGATAATTAATAAGCCGGTCTTTGACTTTGACCTACCTAATTGTTAAATAGGACAACTATAAACAAATCTCCGAAAATATTGTATGTTCGTCGCAGCGCGATTGTTTGTTTATTCTGACTCTATATATTGATGGGTCTTCACATATAGGATAGAATAAGGTATTCAGAGACTGTTTATTTATTATTTTATATTGGCTGAAAATGGGTCAGTGCTTAAAAAAAAAAATACATAAAAAAATTGTACCATTAAGAAAATCATATACTAGCACTTGACGTGAATTTTGGTAAGATGGAGAAAAATCACATAACATTTTAGACACATAGTATATTAATCATGCAGGTTCTTTAGTGAAATCTAGTGGTTGTATTCAAATATTAGTTGTAATCGATGCATTTTCAAAATATTGCAAGCTAGAAACAATTTCTAAAGATTCCATATGTTGTCTAATATCAATTATTGAAGAAATGAGAAAACCAATATAAATTATTATAGCTGCTGCATTTAATTCAATAACTTACAAAAACTTTCTTAGTAAACGTAACGTGCAGATTGATTATATAGTAACCGGAGTGCCACGTGGAAATGGTAGAATGTGTAATGATTAACTCTCTTTAAATTGTTATGAACAACACTCTTAGCAGAAAAAGAAAACCAGTGAATAGCAGTAGAAGAAGCCGTCGTAGTATCACAACAATGCATAAAAAAAATTGATGACCGTCAAACCAAGGTTAACGATTCAATGAAACTAGGCGTTGAGCCACATTATCTAAGCCAGGCGATATCGTGGCAATTGAAGATTCACAGCTCGCAGGTGGAGGAAAATTGAGGCCAAAATACAAAGGGCTTTACACAGTTGGAGAGGTATTACCACATGAAATATATCAACTTCACAAAGAGCGACAGCGAATAACTGTAGCCGCTCAAGATTAGTTGCTATGGTCATCGAAGTAATTATAAAAAAGGTGAGTGGAAATCCCACAATATTAAATTAAAATAATTGTTTTTGTTGATTTATGGTGGAAATCCCACCAAATTTAACTAAATAAATCATGTTGATAAATTAATGCTAGGGTTTAGTGTTGTAGCACTAGTGTTTAGTGTTAGGGTGGCAATCCCACCAGAAGTTCCAGAATAAATTATGATAATAAATTAACACTAGGGTTTAGTGTTGTAGCACTAGTGTTTAGTGTTAGGGTGGCAATACCACCAGATGTTCCTGAATAAATCATGATAATAAATTAACACTAGGGTTTAGTGTTGTAGCACTAGTGTTTAGTGTTAGGGTGGCAATCCCACCAGATGTTCCTGAATAAATCATGATAATAAATTAACACTAGGGTTTAGTGTTGTAGCACTAGTGTTTAGTGTTAGGGTGGCAATCCCACCAGATGTTCCTGAATAAATCATGATAATAAACACTAGGGTTTAGTGTTGTAGCACTAGTGTTTAGTGTTAGGGTGGCAATCCCACCAGAAGTTCCAGAATAAATCATGATAATAAATTAGCACTAGTGTTTAGTGTTGTTGCACTAGTGTTTAGTGTTAGGGTGGCAATCCCACCAGATGTTCCAGAATAAATCATGTTAATAAATTAACACTAGGGTTTAGTGTTGTAGCACTAGCGTTTAGTGTTAGGGTGGCAATTCTACCAAATGTTCCTGAATAAATTATGATAATAAAGTAATACTAGAGTTTAGTTTTATAACACTAGGCGTTTAGTGGCAATCTCACCAACAATAAATAAAAATAAAGGTAGTTAGTGGCAATCCCACCAAGGTTAATTGAAAAGGTAGTGGCAATCCCACCAAGGTTAATTGAAATTATAGTTAGTGGTAATCCTACTATGTTTACTGTAATGGTGGCAATAGCACCAAGGTTAATTAAAAAGGTAGTTAGTGGCAATAGCACCAAGGTTAATTAAAAAGGTAGTTAGTGGCAATCCCACTATGTTTACTGCAATGGTGGCAATCCCACCAACATTAATTGAAAGAATAATTAGTGGCAATCCCACTAATGTGTATTGTAATGGTGACAATCCCACCAACATTTATTGAAAGGGTATTAAGTGGCAATTCCACTAATGTTTATGGTAATGGTGGCCATTCCACCAACGTTGATTGAAAGAATAACTAGTGACGATCCCACTATGTTTACTGTAATCGTAGCAGTTTCACCAACAATAATTGAAAGAGTAATTAATCTTTTAGCGTCTAAAAAGAACATTAGTGATAATGTTCATAAGTCGTAACAGTAGTTCTGTTTTCGTATTTTGTAATTCCAGATATATGTGGCGCGAGGACGCACCAATTGCAGGATGGCCGTGTTAGCGGTATTTCTCTATACTCCCCACCATAAATTCTTGAAGTCCATACACATGCGTGTCAGGATGGACGAGCGGGAGAAGACAGACCAGCGCAGTGAGCAGTACGTTAATAGACAGTGGCAATACCACAGCAACATTGTAATTGAGAATACTTGATCGTGAAATAAACCATTAAAAAGCAGTTTAGACATTTTTATTAGGGATGATACATCCCTTATGTTTATATATGTATATATATATATATATATATATATATATATATATATATATATATATATATATATATATACTATTGTAACAGGATATATTAGTTTATCATACATTTTGAAAACAATAGACTCCGATACAGCAATACGTAGAATCTAAACATGTTATTTACGTTTGTTGTCCGATTAGAATTCCCTTATTTTGTGTGTTTGAGACTTTAATTAATTTCCTGTATTGTGGAATAGATTTAGAATTTTTCTTTATTTAATTTTTACTGTTCATAATGTTTATATTTTTTACAAACTATTTTCCAATTATTACAGTAGCCGGTAAGAAAAAATAAAAATACAAATTTTTAGGTTTCTTTTCTACTGGAGACGACGCAATTCCTGGAAATGCTGGATTAAAAGATCAGGTTTTAGCTATGAAATTTGTGAATAAATATATACAATATTTTGGAGGTGATCCCGATAAAGTTACCATTTTTGGACAAAGCGCAGGCGGAGCTTCTGTGCACTATCATGTTTTAAGTCCACAATCGAAAGGTAAGATATTAAAAATATAGTAATCCGAAAAAAATAATTTTGCAGTCTCAATTATTTAATTTACTTGTTTATATATCTAAATTATTTGAGCTGTTGTTCGAACTGATTATAATAACGTCTTGACTTATCCGACAAATCATAATATTTTTAAGACATTTCAAATCAAATTATATTTTTGGCGCAGTCAGTAGGATTATCCCAATTAATCCAATGTGAATAACCTACGATTTTAATTGTTAAGTGACAATTACAAACTTTCGACGTTAGAAACTACTTTTGAACTATTCATTGTGAGAAAAATGTTGTAAATACTTCCTTGTATTACCGAATTTCAGTAGACTAATCTTACATTCATTCCTTATCCTTAGGTTATCACGAGCAAGATTTTTTTAGCCCCTCTTTTGTAGCAATGTTTCCTAAGACATTAAGCTACTGTTTCGACAGTGAATGACTCTTGTAGATTGGCTCCATTGCACCTTCTACCTAAAATAATCTTAAGCTAAGTACTTAAATACTAGAACACTAAAACATTATATAATCGTCTATTAGATTGGATAGTGTGAACCTCTTGAGCCGCCTTGGTTCGCCTGTCTGTTCAAAAACTCTGTTGGCTAGAACATTGGGATGCACTTACACTGTTTGACGATAACTGTCACTGAACTAAGTAATCACTTCTTTTACTGATGCTAGAGGGATGTCTTGTTGGATAACCCTATTTGGAATATAATAGGGTGTATTGACGATGCAACGGATAAGCTTATTCTGGAATCTTTGTAAAATGTCTATATTGCTGTTGCTGGCAGAGCCCAAAAGTTGGTTCCATAAGTCCACACGGGTTTAAGAATAGCTTTGTATAGTAAAATCTTGTTTACCAATGCTAACTAGAATTTGCGTTCTATAATCCAGTACATTTTGCTAAATTTAATGCCCAACTGTTTTCTCTTTGTGAAGATGTATGCCAAGATATTTTACGTTTTTTGTTTGAAAAAGATTGCAATTGTTGACTTTTGTATGACATGTGTCTCTTCGAGTAGAGAAGGTTATGTGTGCAAATTTGGTTTCATTTGCCTTAATAATTCTTCATTTTTTGAGCTAGTTTTGTATTTTGTCAAAGTTAGTCTGCAAACTGATGCTGTTTTGGGGTTAGTGTTAGATGTCAGGTTTGCTGTGTCATCTGCATAAGTTGCCACAAGAGTTTCTTTGGTAGAAGGGAGGTCTGCAGTGTAAATCAAGTACAGCACTGGACCATGACGCTTCCTTGAGGGACGCCTGCCTTGATAGGATGAAGTCTGGAATATTCATTGTTTTGTTTTACAGTGAAATGTCTGTTATCGAGGTAGATAATGTTGATACAGAAGATTCAGTTTCATTTTATAGTGAAGATCTTTATGACATATATTGTTAAAGACTTGAAAGATATCAAGGAATGCCGCTGAGCAGTATCTTTTGGCTTCAAAGTCACTATTTATCTTGTTAACAAGTCTATGTATCTCTTCTACTGTACCTGCTGTTCAAGGAATCCAAAGTTGTGCTGTGGAATTATTTTTCTTTCTGTCTGAAAAATAATTCCCGAGCAAGATGTAGAGGAAAATTTAGTCATTAAAAGTTATTTTTATTCATTTATTTATCTTATTTGCTGCTAAGCAGTTAATCTACTTATTTATCTTTTTTGCTCTAGCTCCTTTTTAAAAGCTTCTAGATCCATAATTGGAAGGGTTAATCCCCATATCTTTTACTGACCTACTTCTTTACTAATACTAACCTGGTATTTCGCAACTTTTTCATCCAAATCTATCAGCTATAACTTGCCTTGTTCTCGGTCTTCTTCCTCCTGGTTCCCAAGATGCAATAACATTGTTTACTTGATTTTGATAAGCTCCACCATATATACATGCCCCAACCATTTTATCCGGTGCTGTTTTATTATTTTCACAATGTCTTCCCCTTTTAGAGCCTGTATTATTATTTTTTAATTCGGTGTCATCGGCATCAACTGCTGCGGTTCTGTGTAAGCTTTGTTACTGTTTCCCAGCGCCACTTTAGGAACAGTACTGTTAATTAGAACACAACAATGAATGACCGAGTGTGGAATTCTGCCTATGCAATAGGATTAATTTTTTAATTAACCAAATTGAATAAAAATCCAGTCTCCGGCGAGATTCGAAACCGAGACCGTTGGATCCGAAAAACCAGACTCTAACCTCTGAACCACCTACTCCCTGTGTAATATTATTAATAATTTTTTCTACGTCCGCTATTTTAACGAGTCCCAAAATGTTTTATACAATTCTTCTCTTTTAAATCTTTAATTTCTCCTCTTCTTTTCTTGTCTTTGTCATTAACTGCAAATAATATCAGTCTTATCGAGACACTGCTGTTTAAAATTATTGTACCACTTAGATATCTGCACACATAAAGCTGCAGTACCAAAATTTTGAACATCAGTACTTATATTGTCTATCGCAGAATAGAAGACATATAAAATACGAGTTCATACATCACATAACTTATTCACTACACATCTATTATTGTTTGTTAGAAAACTAATCACAATAGCCGCAATTTAGGAGTTATTACTAAATGTCAATATGACGGCTAGGGGCTTCTCAAGCTGTTGTGGTGAGAAATCTTTCTGCCTGAAACGCGAGGAATGAAAATTGGCTGATGGCATCGGTTTACGTCACTATCCCCGTTCGTAAGTTTTAACCAATCATCGGCGAGTCGGGCCTCACGTGAGATTATCTATTGGTGTTTGTAGGCGGGATCTTTTGCAGTTAGAAAGGGTAACATAACCATCTTTTGTTTTAATCTAGGGACGGCGTTAGGAGCAAAAAATATTAAAACAAACGGTTTGTGCCAAAATGTTGAAGTATTTCAACATTGTCCTTTTCATTTTTCTTCTTAATATAATAGAGGCATTTAACTTTTAGGACTATTCAGAGCAGCGATTTGTGAAAGTGGATCATCTATAAGTGCCTGGGCTTCGCAAAGAAATCAAACAGAAATTTCCTTCCGCTTAGTTGAAATTATAAATCCAGATTTTGTCAATAGAAAGCCTTCCTCGTCAGAAGTATATGAATATTTAAAAACTCTTCCGGCAACAACCATAGACAGAGCAGCACACGTTATACATAAAATGGTATGTGCTGTCTATTTTAATGATTAGCTTCAGAACTACTATAGAACCAAAGGAGCATGCTTAACGTATGATATTTTTGGAAAAGTACTTTTTCAATTTTCCAGTTAGCCCGAATCAATAAGTAATTGATCGTTTTTAATTAAATTCTCAACTGATTAGAGATAATGTTAATAAACTATTGAAAAATCAATTAAATATTAGATATCTACGTGTCATTGAAATTTATACAATTTTCATCACAATTTTTAATTACTATTTTTTTGGTTGATTTTATAAAAACATATTTAAAAATTGATAATTTAATATACAGGGTGGCACATCCTATAAGCGTCGGTCTCTGTAGGAAAAACGACTTAAAATTTGAATTTATTATATAGGGTGACCCAAAAATAGGAATTTAAATCAAAGCTATGTTTTTTTAAAGGGAACACCCTATATTTAGCTGTTATTTTAAAGGGAACACCCTATATTTGATGGTGTCTTTCGATTCCTCGGAAAAATAATGTAAAGTTTCTGTAATGTTTCCTATACCTATATTTTTTCGTTTTTGAAACATTTAAAGGATTCCTAATTTGTAACCTTGTACAACATAATCTACTATGTCGCGGTTATTTAAAACACAGTCACCTGCGATATGCGTAGCCAAGATATTAGACTATCGAATAAAATGCAAATTTTGCCATTACATCATTTAGTCTAATTGAATTCAACTTACATATGGAGTTGAATAATATTCTTATTTTAAATGGCACACCCTTTATTTAATAACTGATAGACATTTAAATTATCTTTCATTCCATATAAAATTTCCCTATACCTAAATTCAACCCCTGTACCTAAATTCAACGGTTTTTTAGTAAATATCTGTTTTTATGTTTAACATAGCTAATTTTTGTAAATACTCTTTCCCGTCAAAGTGACCATTGAATTTAAATGTCAAATGCGAGTTTGTCATTTCTATTTAGTAAGTTAGATATCAAATGTACGAAAAATCGAATTTGAAACATGAAAACTTATTCTAAAGCAGAGAGAATTGATATGGTACTTGTTCTTGGTGAGTGTCATGAAAACTGTTTATTGGCTTCTAGAGTTTACGGCCAAAAAAACCCAGATCGAGAGAAACCTGACAGACGTGCTTTTGAAAGATTACTACAACAGTTTAGAGTTAGCGGAAACGTAGATTATAAAAAAATTATTCATCGTCAACCTATTGTAGGAGATCATGATAATGAATTTTGGGTTATTGGCTCACTAATAGAAAACCCACACACAAGTCATCGGGCTATTAGTAGAGAAACTGGAATAAGTAGGAGAAGTATTGGACGAATAATAAAAAAACATAAATTTTATCCTTATAAGATACAGCTGCACCAAGAACTGTATCAAAGGGACTTTCAACAAAGAATCGATTTTTGTTTATGGGTTACGGATAAAGTAGAATCATAGAATCATAGAATCATAATAATTTACTCGTTAATCGCCATAACTTTCATTATTATAGTGATGAAAATCCTCACGTCTTTCGTACTCTCGATCATCAGCATAGGTGGTTCTTGAATGTGTGGCGAGAAATATTAGGTTCTTATTTTTTACCGGTCATCTTAATGACAAAAAATTTCTAAAATTTTTGCGGAGAAAATTATCTGGGCTCCTTGATAATGTACCTTTAAATACTAGGCAGAAAATATGGATGCAGTTGGACGGAGCCCCCGCACATTTTCAACTTCGAGTACGGCGATACTTAAACCGGCGTTTTGTTAATAAGTGGATCGGAAGAGGTGGTCTACATAATTGGCCTCCAAAATCTCCAGACTTGACGTCGTTGGATTTTTTTTATGGGGACACATACAAAGTATAGTTTATAACACCCCACCAACTACTCCGGAAGATATGATAGCTAGAATAAGAGCTGCTTTTCAGACAGTAACTGGAGAAATTCTTCTCAAAGTGAAATGATCCTTTGAAAAACGAGTTCAGTTGTGTTTAGAACAAGATGGGCGTCACTTTGAACATTTTTTATAATTCATTTTTTGTTTTGTTTTCAATTTGTTTCTTACTCTTTTTCATTTGTGTGTAGTTTTCAAATAATTCAAATTTTCTTGTCATTAAATGTTTTTTTTTATTAAAAAAATTATAGTTTTGGTTTACATTGAATCTATTTAACATTGAAAAGTGTTAATAATGTTTATTTCGTTCGATACCATATTTTGAGTGATATTTGCTCTATGTTTACTATGATTAAAAAATAATATTGTTAGAGTCAGCGAATTAGGATATCGCCGCCACTGGGGTCGACGGTACCACGTCTGCCGGTTGCAGTGTCCAGGACCAGGAGAGAGCGGGGACTTGACTTTCGACCAGCCGAACGCGATGAAGTGATAGGAAATATGCCGTTAAAGACATTATTTATTTTGTTCCTTAATTAATTTAATTTCAAACATTGTTTACGAGATATTTAATAAAACGCTATAAAACCATGTTATCACGTGTTTTATGAAGTGGCTATACAGGGTGTTATAGTATACAGGGTGATAAATCATTTAAAAACAATAATTTTGAAGTTAATTCTTTTAACTTCTAACAATATGATAAAATCCGTATGTTAAAAATAAAAAAGAGCTATTTACTAAAGTTCCATCAAATTTCGGTATAGGAAAATCTTATGTAGAATAAAAGATAATTGTAATGTCTATCAGTTTATGTTATTAAATACAGGGTGTGCCATTTAAAATAGGAATATTATTCAACTCCATATGTAAGTCGAATTCAATTAGACTAAATTAGCACCCTGTATGATGTAATGGAAAAATTTACATTTTATTCGATAGTCTAATATCAGGAGACTGTTGATGTGTTTTAAATAACCGCGACATACTAGGTTATGTTGTTCAAGCTTACAAATTAAGAATCCTTTAAATGTTTCGAAAACGAAAAGAGATATGTAGGTATAGGAAACTATAAAAACTTTATTTTTTCCGGGGAATCAAAAGACACAATCAAATATAGGGTGTTTCCTTTAAAAAAAATAACTTTGATGTAAATTCCTATTTTTGGATCACCCTGTATAATCCAAATTATTTTTATTTTGTAGTGTTATTGGCCCTGTATATCCCTATTAGGAAAAAAATCAAATTTCAAGTCGTTTTCCCTACAGAGACCGACATGTATAGGATGCACCACCCTGTATATTCGTAGATCGCAAATCGAAATACGAAAAGTCAAAATTATCTGAAATAAGTTGTAGAATAATTTGAAAATTTGGAAACAAATCTCAAAAATCCCCTCACGAATTATCATCCCCGAACCCCAAAGGTGAAAACACATACTGGGTGGCCTGTCGCCGCTGAGATGCCCTTACCGCTAGACGATATGACAACATTGACTGTCGAGATTCCTAGGAATCTAGGAATCTCGACAGTCAATGTCGTCGTTGTCTAGCGGTAAAGGCATTTGAGTGCATAATAAAGATATCTGGGTTCCAATCCAAGCGGTGATAGGCTTTTTCAAATGTCCAAGTATGTGTTTTAACCTTTGGGGTTCGAGGAAGGTCTTAATAATTTATATGGGGATTTTTGAGATTTGTTACCAAATTTTTAAATTATTCAAAAACATATTTACATAGTTAAAAAAATTCGAGTAATATCTCTAAAGATAACTTTCCTCTCTACTTTGGCCTATGTCAAAATCTATGATCATATTTCTAAATATCAAATCATCCTCAAAAATGTACTACCTGCATGATTAACGGTATTTATATTTTAGGAAAGCCCTTCAGATAATCAAATTCAACAAGGATTCTTTTTTGCACCTGTAATCGAACATGATCATGAAGATGCTTTCCTTACACAATCAATGTATAAGATGTTACAAAATGGAGAATTCAACGATGTTAAAGTAATTATTGGAGTCAACTCTGAAGAATCGTTGTTTTATGTAACAGGTATGAAAAAGAGAAAACGGCGTTAAATTATTTTCCCTTTTATTTATTATTTTCTTATATAATAATAATAATAATAATAATAATAATAATAATAATAATAATAATAATAATAATAATAATAATAATAATAATAATAATAATAATAATAATAATAATAATAATAATAATAATAATAATAATAATAATAATAATAATAATAATAATAATAATAATAATAATAATAATAATAATAATAATAATAATAATAATAATAATAATAATAATAATAATAATAATAATAATAATAATAATAATAATAATAATAATAATAATAATAATAATAATAATAATAATAAAAATAAAAATAATAATAATAATAATAATTAATAATAATAATAATAATAATAATAATAATAATAATAATAATAATAATAATAATAATAATAATAATAATAATAATAATAATAATATTTATTCAAGAATAAGAAGTTACAAAGTTACAAAGTAATAGAATAACAATTTCAAATAAATAAATATTAATACTCAAGTGCCAATAAGGCACTTATTTTGAGAACAAATATAAATATAAAAAATATAAATATAAACAAATATATACATATAAAATAAAATTAATGCATTACAGAAAAAAAAATATATTTTATATAGAAAATACTGTTTTAAACTAATAATTTAAAAAAACAGCCCTGTAATTTGCTAATTTAAGAACAAATACAAATTGCCTACTAAATTTTTTAGATGAAAAATTTCCAAACGTGACAATAGCAGTAGATAGTGATAATACCATTTTAGTTCCTAGAAGTCTGAATGCCAAAGAATCTGACCATGCTGCAATTGCTCAGAAGATAAAAGATTTTTATTCACCTTATCTAAATTTTACTGGTAATTGGAGAAGTCTTATCAAGGTAAATGTTTTTATGTGGTATATATTTTTTGCCATATTACTCTCGATATTATTATTACGTGGTACCGATTTGGTGTTTGATTGCATTCTATTTCAAAAATTTAAGTCGGCTGCAGACTCGTCGTCCAAAATCCCATGAAGAGCTGTAAACGTAAGTGTAAAAGATTTTCGCACATATTCGCGTATTTCACGTCTTTTCATAACTACGAGAAAAGCGAACACTATCGACATTCGCTCATCCCGTCAGCACCTTAGTTCTATTGTAGTCATGGTTGTGGTCGATCAAGATTCATAGTAATAAATAATGAGTACTTCCTGGAGCAACGAATTGGTGTAACCTACAAAATGAACTTGGTGATTCCACCAAAATTTTTTAAACAAAAAAAAAAATTATTAAAGTATTAACTACAATTAAAAATGTTGTCTACTACGGTTACACAAGTTTCGGTTGTTCCGGTGTCAACCTTCGGGCCTTCGACGTCGCTCAGACGGCAGCTAGGGGGTGGATAGCTTACAAAAATTCCGGAAATAGTAGACAAATAAATAGGCGCCAACTGGGTCTATATAGTGGCCAAACTATGATCCTATTTCCCCAAAAACCCAGTAAATGAGGAAAGAAATAAAAGACAAACCTCAACTTATGTTCCTTTATAAAGAAAAAAAAAAGAATATTTAGTAAATATACAAACTAATTACCTGATGGCTTAGATAATAAAAAAAAAGTTGGAGGAAATTAAAAGGAAAAACTTACACAGTGTATGTATATGCATAACCCAAAAAAATTAATAAGTGTATCAAAGTATGGAACGGTTCGTCGTTAGCTTGGTACCAGGCATGACGCTTGCGCAAAACATTAATTTCCACCTTACATAAAAAAAATATAATATAATAGTTAACTTAAATATTGTGCATCACCGTACCTATACTACTTCATATATTATAAAAACAGTAAACTTATAATCTTTATAATCTTATAACCCTCTCCAAATTGGAAGGCGATATCTGCTTAACTTTTGGTTAAGACCAAACTACCCAAAAGAAAATTATTAAACCATGAAATTTTATAATTAAGTATAATTCATACAACTAAATAAAAATATAAAAATAAAATAAAAATACAATGAACACAAAGGACTTCAGACACAGAGGTTATTTACTTAAACTCCCAGATTGGAAGAGGTTACTTAATCTCTGCCCCCACACGGGTCTTCTGAGATTGCTTAACTTAATCGTTAAGTCTGGACTATTTAATAATGAATAAATTAAAAAAGTAAAATTATGGCAGTAGCCCTTAATAACTGAAGAATTACAACTTAAACGTGGAAGCAGTCCAAGTGTTCTGCGACCCGAAGGATTACTACATCAGCATTAAGTGCTTAAATTAAGTAAAAGCTTTAAAATATTAATCAATTAAACGATGTAACATTTGATAATACTTAAGTTATGTGTGAAAGAACCCTAGAACATTCTATGCTCAAAAGTATAAATAATGTTGAGAATACCTTGACAACATTCGGTTGAAAGTGAATGTATAATTTAACAATGCACGCATGAAACCTTCAATATAACGTATAAGAAAAACCTGATAGTAGGGTGTCTTCTTTCACAGCATTCCCATCTTCCTATCCAGAACAAGAAACATTCTTGTAAATCTAGCTACAAGTAAACTAGGTGGCTAGCATACCAATGTTCTGTGTCCCCTCGATGAGTCCACGATGAAACCGTTGAACTCCGGACGATATAACCCTCTGTGTACAACTGTTGAAATCCTGGGTCAACAATCCCTTGGGTCAAACTGTCGTCGAATCCTGGGCTAACAACCCCCTGGGTTAAACCCTTAAAATATTACAAAGAAAAATGTCAATACACATTGACTCAAGTATCCCGAACTATAGGATTACCCAAAAATGTACATAAACTAGAAAATATTCAGTATCTAGGATAAAGAAAAACTACATTGGCTCAACAGTGAGTCATAAACAGTATTATGAGCTCCAATAATTAAAATTCTGTTACACATGGTTGGTAACATAACCTAATATATACAAAACATACCTTTTTCGTAAAGGGTTAACTTGGTAGCCTTTCAAGGATGAGAACCACGTGAGATGATTCACAGCACAACAATATTCCACACTCCAAATGCTGTGAACGTCCAATTCTTGCGTTAAAATCCTATATTAGATATGGGCTGGACCAATGACCATGGGAATTTACCAATTCACTAAAATTCCCCTCAAAATACGAAATGTCCATTTACCCACAGTTAACGATGAAATAGAATCTAAAATCCCCTTTAATTAGGGTAAGCCGATGGGGCTAAATATTAAGAAAATTCTATTTCGACACAAAAATCGCCTCTCGTGACTGAATACCCACTGACAGAAAAAAACAATACGTCAGCCGTCCAAAATGGCCGAAATCCCTTTCCGATAAATGTCAAGTGGGTTCAGAAATTCATCCTCAAGAATTCCCCACTATATAACTTAACAGACCATTTACGAAAGGTACCCTAAAAACTATATTTATATACAGTATAACTACATTTGGGAAACTGTTCCCGACAAAAAATTAACACAACAGCGATCGCAAAACAAAATCCCTCACGACTTAAAATCGCTCATTGTGAAACTACCTTACCTCGGGTTCTGAGCCCGATATTGGAACGTACTACAAACATGACACATGTTCTGTCGTTAAATGACGTTTATGTCATTCACTGTCATAATTAAAAAATAATAAACCTAACCTGACATCTGTAACAAAAATAAACAAAGTCAAATCTTAAAGAATGGTTTCGTAAATAATTAATTACCCAAAGGTGAGACTATAATACATAATATATATAAATTTACAACGAAACTTGGTCTATTTTTAGGAGGGTTACCATCCTTTTACTTAGTGGTGAGATGAAATAAATTATAAAATGATGTCCAAGTTAGAATACAGGTGAAATTAGTTAATGACCAAAATAATAGTGATATCAACCATACGATTTTACCCTTTTTTTTTTTCGTATGATTAACCAGGTAAGCCAAAACAATTTTATTAATTCGTGGGGCCAAAAATGAACGTTACAGATTCCCCCCTTACTTCAAGAGAATTCACTCAGGTGAATTCTCACCAGCGCTAGCTGTCTTCAAATCTTTAATATTCCAAGTCCCTTTGTCATTACCTTTTTCGTCCATCAAAACATATGTCCACGGAGATACCTTTTTCTTAACTAAATAGGGACCAACCCATCGAGGTGCTAGTTTCTTAGTATAGTACCGCGCAGCATCAGAAGAAACAAAATTCTTACGCCAAACCAATTGATGAGGAAGCAATTCCTCCCTACGTCGCCGAAGATTATAAACCCTTTCGTTTTTCTGCGAAGCTTTATCTAGTCGTTCCCTGACGTCCTTAAACAAATCATCAAATGCCTTGTTATTCTCAACATTATTAATACCAATGTCAGCAGAACAATCTCTCAGTTTATCTTTAATTGCAAATTCGCTACCCTTTAAGACCATATTTCTCCCAAAATTAAGATAGTAAGGAGTCTGTTTAGTAGACTCATTAAAAGAAGTACGTATAGCACAAGTCACTTTTGCTAAGTCAACGTCCCACTTTCGGTGATTATCAGAAACATACATAGCCAACATCGTTTTTAAAGTTCTATTATACCTTTCAGTAGGATTCGCCTGAGGATGATAATGGGCGTTAAACCGTACCGAAACTTCATACTCCTTCATTAATGAAGAGAACGCTCCCGAAGTAAACTGTGGACCATTATCGCAAAGCAACAAACGCGGAATACCAAACAACAAAAATACCCCCTCTTCAATTCGTTTAGCTACTATTGGTGCAGTAGAGGATTTCAAAGGAAAAGTAAGTGTAAACTTGGTGAACAGATCGACAACGACTAAGATGAATCTATTGCCAGCCATGGATCGAGGTAGTGGACCTATCAAGTCAGTACAAATAATTTCCCAAGGACGAGTAGCTCTGGGTTGGGGTGTCATATGTCCTTTAGGGCCACTCTGGTCAACCTTATGCGCTGCACAAACCGAACAATTCCTAACAAACGCAGCCACATCTGACCTAAGTTTGGGCCAATAAAACCTTTCACTAACACGCTTAAAAGTTTTCAACACACCCATGTGTCCAGCTAAAGGCAAATCATGCAATTGTTGCATAATCCCTCGCCTATCTCCTTTAGGAACAACTTCTTTCCAATCGTCAGCAACATCTCCTAAAGTCTTATAATTTGTTCTAATGTGTTTGAACAGCTTACCATCAATGACTCGCCACTGTGAGTACTTTATAGGGTGTTTTAACACCTTATCTATCATACCACTGTACCAACGATCTTTAACAACAGAAACCTCACTAATCTCAACATCCGGTATAGCCCTAGACAAAGTATCCGGCACAACATGATCTTTACCCTTGCGATGAACAATCTTAAAGTCGTATTGTTGGAGTTTGACACTCCATCTGGCTAATCGACCAGCAGGGTCCTTTAGATTTTGTAACCAAACCAAGGAATAATGATCGGTGATTACTGTAAATGAGACACCCTCTAAATACGGTCTAAGTTTCTCTACTGCCCATAGAACAGCCAAACATTCACGCTCCGTAGTGGAATAAACACGTTCCTGCTTAGTCAACGAACGACTCAAATAACTAATTACTCGATCCCCATCTGGATGAATCTGAACGAGGACAGCACCGAGTCCATAACCACTAGCATCACAATGAACTTCAAATGGAAAATTATAATCAGGACAACTTAGCACAGGGGCCTTCACCAAACATTCCTTAATCTTATTAAATGAAACATCACACTCTGGTGTCCAGCTAAACTTCCTACCCTTACGCAACAAAGCCGTAATTGGTGAAATCAAAGTGGAAAAATCAGGAATAAACCTGCGGTACCATGAGAAAGTTCCTATCACACCACGAACATCTTTAACACATTTAGGCGTAGGTAACAACAACATAGCCTTGACCTTGTCA